CCCAATTTTCAGTCAAAATTCGCTATCTCTTTTAGTTTAGAAGGTATTTCTGAAAAACTTACCGACTTAATCTTTTCATTGTGCATTCACAACCCCCCCTCCCCATTCCGCCCCAAATTTTCAGTAAAAATTCGCTATCTCTCTTAGTTTAGGAGATTTTTTTGAAAAACTCACCGACTCAATCCTTTCATTGTGCATTCACAACCCCCCTCCCCCCCGCCATCCCAAAATTTTCAGCAAAAATTCGCTATCTCCCTTGTTTCGGAGATATTTTTGAAAAACTCACTGACTCAATTATTTTGGTTTTGGATTCTCAAAGCACAATCCCTTCCTTCAAGTTTTCAGTAAAAATTCGCTATCTCCCTCAGTTTGGGAGATATTTTCGAAAAACTCGCCGACTAAATTTTTTTGGTTGTGGATTCTCAATATGCAACTCTCTCTACCCCTCCCCCCTCCAAATTTTCATTAAAAATTCGCTATTTCCCTTAGTTTCGGGAATATCTTTGAAAAAATCACTAACTCAGTTTTTTTTATTGTGGATTCTCAAAGAAGAACTCCTTCCCCACCCCCCAAATTTTTAGTAAAAATTCGCTATCTCCCTTAGTTTCCGAGATATTTANTTAAAACTCAATTAGCGATTATCCAAGAAAGTGAAAAATTCATATTTTATGTGAACTGCCAAGCAAGTAATGTGAAATCGCTAAATATAAATTACCGATCGAAAAAATAATGGTAAATTCTATATTTTCATTTATAATTACTGAAATGATTTGGAATTTTTAATGACGATTACTCAATGACAATGTAATGGATGTTCAGAGCGATTCAGTTATTGATTACTCATGTAATTTGTCATAAGTGCGTTGAGTTATTCATTTTCCAATTAATAGCAAAATTTCACATTCAATCACTTGAGTGACTGAGTAATAGAGTAACGGTAATTTGACATTACAATTGTCCCGAACCCTGGGGAGAGGTAAGGATAGAAGACAATAGCAACAGTCAAGCACTCACAAGGGTTAACTGGGAGAACCTTTTGCACTGAGAAGAAAATATAATTCTGACAATCAAATTTGTTTCAGACAAGAATTTATAGTGAAATTTTGTTTGGAAATTTTTAGGCATTTGTTTGTCTGAAACAAATTTGATTGACAGAATAATATTTTTTTCTTAGTGTAATTATCTCGCTCGATTCATGACCATTTGACTATTGTGATAGTCCTGCCTGTCCTCCAGTGACTTTCGTGATCGTTCGAATCTTGAGATTTTTCTCCCGCCTTCGTTGTTTGTCCTTGTGGCTGTTTGAACCTGGAGATTGTCCTACCGGCCTCTGTTGTCTAGCCCTTGCGATCGTTTCAATCTTTCCAGTTATGATCCTTGCGAGGTATGACTCTTGTGAGGTAGGATTCTTGCGATGCTCAGCCCTCAAAAAGTATGACCATGGCGACGTTTGACCCTCTTACGATACGATGGGAGAGACTTTTAATTATTTCACTCGATTTATAATAATACGACCGATGTGAGGCCTATCCACCTTTTTCAGTTAATCCTCATTATCGTTGGACCTTTGTGATTGTGAAAAATTGAACCCCTAAAAGTCATTTTCCTTATTTATGATCGAAAAACCAAATTTTCCATCAAAAGAAAAATTTTCTCTCATCTCCATGTGGATGTCCCATTTTGTAATACCCCGAAAAAGTTATGTGTTATAATCATCCGTCGAGAAAAAAAAATTATTCATTTTTCGTCTGGCCCCGTAGAACAGCGGAATTTAAATAATAAAAGACTTGAAAAATGGCTTATCAATTATCCTGGTAGTACTGTCGCATTTTTATTCGGAAAGTACCTGAAAAAACGAAGAAAATTTATTTTTATTCGTCAAAATCTATGAATTATTAGGTGTATAACTTAATCATTCCGTTTTTTTAATAAAAAAAATATGTAACATTATAAAATATATGAATACTAGATCAATCCTCGAAATATCGTGCATCGTTTTCGATGACCTTGCGCCATCGATCGGGCAACATACGAATGCCATCGCGAAAAAAACTTGCAGACTTTGAGGCGATGAAGTCATCGACGAATTTTCGTATACCGTCCAGAGTTTGGAAGCGCCTTTCCTCCAAGACGTGCTGCATGGACCGGAACAGATGGTAATCGGAAGGGGCCAAGTCCGGTGAATAAGCCGCGTGCGGGACAATCTCCCAGCCCAAGCTTAAAATCGTTTTCTGTGTCGCGCGAGCAACATGAGGTCGAGTGTTATCATGAAGCAACATGACTTTCCGGCTCCCTTGCCCAGTAAATGGCCTCGTAGCGTTCTGCAGTAACTGTCTGATCCATTTCCAAAAGTTCGCAATAGAGTACACCCTTCATATCCCGCCAGATGCAGAGGAGAACCTTCTTCATGTGAATTTTTTGTTAGGGAGTAGATGTCGATGCTTGTCCGGGATCCACCCATGACTTTTTCCGTTTGGGATTAGCAAAAAAAATATATTGTTCATCTCCCGCCACAATTTTTGACAAAAAATTTTTCTTCTGACACTTGGCAAGCAACGGAAGGCACGTGTTCATGCGTTGGCCGCGGTTATATTCAGTCAGTTGGTGTGGAACCCATGTTCCTACCTTTTGTATTTTTCCCATTGTGTGTAATCATTTAGAGACGACTGCTTGAGTAACTCCTAGCTGAGCTGCAAGCTCTTTTTGGGGTTGCGTTGAGTCTTTGTCGAGTAATTCTTGTAATTCAGCATCTTCAAATTTCAGAGGCTGTCCAGGGCGTCCCCGGTCACTGAGATCGAAATCATTATCTTTAAAGCATTTATAGCAAGATCTACACGTATCATAAGACACAATATTACGTCCGAGAGTAGAACAAATCGAATCGTGGGCTTCAATGGCTTTTTTTCCTTGTTGGAACTCGTAGAGAATACAGTACCGAATGTGCTGCGTATCGGTCGCCATTGTATATACTACTGTTTTGTGAAGTTACACAGCTCTTCCAGGCATGATATATAGCGTATTAAAAACAGTAAGATTCGATCTTCAAAATCGCGAAAGAACGCGTAAATATTTAAATTTTGAAAGACACCGCACTCAATGAAAAAAAAACGGACCGATCGAGATACGCGGTAGCGTATCGGTCAAGTTATACACCTAGTAGTTCGCAAGATATGGTTTTTGAAAGATTTGACCTTTTGTCATATGTCATAGACAAACTATTGATGTCCCATATATAAGATTGAGATTGATAAAACGTTGAATTCACGTAATTTATTAATTATTAGTCATTTGAATAATTATAACATGAGGGGTAAAAATTACGAATGACAATTTATTAGAGAATGATTTTAATATGGCCGGGAGGGTTGTACCGCGGTAGACGTGTTTGTTCGGTACGCTTATCGCTGGGTGCGGTTGTTCCGCAGTATCGTTGCACCATTGATAGTGTTCTAACGCGGTAGGCTTGTCGAAACACCAGATAGGTGGGTTAGAGTTGTACGTTGGTAGGGATGATTGCGGTGTTGTTTCATGTCGGTAGAGTTTTCGTGGGTATGGTTGCCCGTTGCCAAGGAAAAAATGTTAAGCAGAGAATGCATTTTTCTCTTCGTAACAGAATTATTCGCCGATGTACAATGAAATTGGTGAGTTTTCGATGAGAAGGTCTGAAAAAAATACATCAATTTCATTTACATCATCATTTTTGTCTCCGTGTACTGTTATTGGTTCTTAATATTCCATGGCCTACACTTACCAAATGAAAAATCATCAAAATGAATATCAGAGTTAATGCCGAAAAACATTCCTTAATCTGTTCCAGGTGACGATGGGCGCATTAACAGTAAAACAAACGCTCACAGGTCACCGAGGCAGAGTGTGGAATGTTTCTTGGCACCCCACAAACTCTGCCCTGGCCTCATGCGGTGAAGACCAGAAAATTCGCATTTATTCACTCGAGGGAGGGAAATACGTTATGAAATTGATACTCGCCGAGGGCCACACGCGAACTATTCGCGAGATTTCCTGGTCCCCATGTGGTAAATATATCGCCTCCGTATCATTCGATGCAACCACTGCCATTTGGGAGAAAAAAGGAACGGAATTTGAGTGCACAGCGACTCTAGAGGGTCATGAGAACGAAGTTAAGAGCGTTGGCTGGTCCACGAGTGGAAATTTAATTGCAACTTGCAGTCGAGACAAATCGGTTTGGGTCTGGGAGTGCAATGAGGATGAGTACGATTGTGCTGCTGTCATCAGTGCACATGCACAGGATGTGAAAAAGGTAAAAAAAAAATGTATTATTAGGGGCTGTCCATGTATTCCATAAGATGTTTATGGGAGTAGGGCGACTAGAATTTCTTAAGAAATTCCAACCTACTAATACTTAGTAATTACTTTTCCTGGTGACATGACTATTCAACACATAACAAAATAATAAGTTTGAATTCTCAGAATAAATATAGAGGTGTTTTTAGATTTCAAACCAGCTATGTCAACTGAGTGTCTACTGTTGTATGTTATATATTGGTTCCCTGTACTTAAAAAAATTATGAGAAAGTATGGAGTTTTAAAGAGAAAATTAGAAATTTTCAGATACTTTCCATATTTAATAATATAGGAGAGCGTGGGGCAAACAAAACAGTCAAAAATTGCAAGCGGCTGTATCTTCGATACAGCTATATTTGTACGTGGATACGTTCATGGTCTTTCCTTGTTTCTCGAATGTTCTAGAAACTCACTGAATTTCCTCGAAATTTCTAGAAACTTTTCGAATTACCTCGAAATGTCTAGAATTTTCTCGAATTCCAGTAGATGGCGCTACACATAATGACCGTTAGTTCTAAGATAATTCGAATCATTAAATCATTATATGATGAAGCCAAAATTCAAGTCAAGTGCGGGGGAGAACTCTCAGGTGAATTTGAGGTCACTGAAGGGGTTCTTCAAGGTGAGACACTAAGCTCACTTCTCTTCATTCTATATATTTCAGATTTTGAACAATTCATTAGAAGCAAAAGCCTCAAAGGCTCAAATATTAACGGCATAACCGATATATTAATGCTATTGTATGCAGACGATACAGTCATTCTTGCTGAATCTCACATTGACCTGGAATTGAAATTGAGAGCCCTCGCAGAATACTGCGATTTAAATGGTTTATCAGTGAATGTCAGCAAAACGAAAATTATGACTTTCAAAAAAACTGGCTCCAAATCAATGGCTCCTATATTTTTTACGTCATATACAAATACTTCTATCGAAGGAGTCAACATATACATATATCTAGGAATCCCTCTATCTAAAACGGCACTTGGTAACTCGGCAGCATTATCAGCTCTCAAAAAAGCCAAAATTGCAACCAGCGCAACTCTCTCTGGACTATCCCGGGTGTGTGCAAGCTCATGGAACACTGCTTTAACCCTATTCAACAGCATGATATCTTCAGTACTTCTCTATGCTGCACCCACCTGGGCTCTACAGCATGGAAAATCATCGAAAAGGGACAACTGGACTTTTTTAAAACTTCTTATCTTGCCAAAATGCACACTCAGCTGGACACTACGAAGAGAGTTAAATATCACACATTTAGAGTATAGAATTCACTTATGAAAAAATGCTATAGGTTTCCCTATAGGAAATCCTATGGAGAATTCGAACATTTCCTATAGGATTTTTCTGATAGGATTTCCTATAGGATTTCCTATAGAATTTCCTATCAGATTTATGACCCTAATCCTGACCCTTGTGACCGATTGGTTTCGAGTCTCAATTTTGTGTGTTACTTTCTATAGAAAACCCTATAGTGAATTCTATAGGAAATCCTATGGAAAATCTTATAGGAAGTTCTATGGTAAATTCCACTAGAAAAATCCTATAGGAAATGTTCGAATTCTCCATAGGATTTCCTATAGGAAATCCCATAGGGTTTTTTTCTTCCTAAAATTTGTCTATTGCAACTCATCAAACTGGCGGATCTGCCTTTCTGCGATGATTATAATTGGGCAGCTAAATTAAAAAAATTCCTGATTCTCACCAATGCGTTTGACCTCTGGAACTGTCTTGACTGTAACTTATGGAAAGCAAGAACGCACGTAATTTTTGAACGTTTTCAATCCATACTTATACATCGTGACCTCGATAGATCCAGAATCTCATCTTCCTGTCAATTCATTATCCCTCGATTTATTCCAGCAAATGACAATCCCTCAAGTTACTTATCGCAGAATCACCCCCTACATGTAAAAAGAACTCTAGCGCAAATCCGCCTCGCGAATATTTACATTTGTACATTTTACATTAACCAAGAGAAAGTAATTTTCAATTTAAAAAAACTGCAATTTATGTAATTTAAATGAGAAAGATAATCTGTTACATTTAATTACGAATTGTCCAAGAGTAAATGATATCAGATCCAAGCATCTTATTAAGCTAACCCAAGCCTCGCCTGAAACGTCGTTCATCAACAACTACTTGTGCAATCCAACCTACTTCGACCACAAAATATTGTACAAATTTTTCACTGAATGTCTGCAGTTGAAACTCGAAATAGGGAGCAGTACTATGCATTTAATTGATCCATCGTAATAACCAAGCATTCTATTTTTGTATCAGTTCCAAGTATCTTATGATAAGTTTATCACCTAAGCAAATGTATCTAAAAAAAAATGTATCATGAAACTCCCCCATGCAGTGGGACTTTGTATCCTTCAGCATTAATATATATATATATATATATATATATATATATATATATATNATATATATATATATATATATATATATATATATATATATATATATATATATATATATATATATATATATTGAAACCATATTGAAACCATAGACGTATCCACGACGTATCCACGTCAAACAGCCGTTTTTTTACTACTTCATTTTGCCCCACTCTCCTCTATTGAATTGTTTTTTTGCCGTAGGATGCTACAACGGAAAATTTGATTCTTCCTCATTTGTTTCTTTTTCATCCAAGTTCATGCGATCTTTCGTAAGATCTTTCAGGCAGGTCTTCACAACAGTATAGTACTCATTCTCATTTGTAATAGTATATTCACTGAAACCGCAGTAGAAGTAGCTGATAAATAAACAAATCTGGAATAATTTTAGGTTAGATGGCATCCGCACGAAGACATCCTAGCCTCAGCCTCATACGACGACACTGTTAAGATCTTTAAAGAAAATACGGCCGACTCTGATTGGAATTGTGTTGCGACCCTCTCCTCGCACACCTCCACAGTCTGGAGCCTCTCGTTCAACTCCACAGGCTCGAGACTCGTCACCTGCAGTGACGACAAAACCATAAAAATTTGGCAAGAGTACAGGCCGAGAAATAATTCAGGGATTCCTACACCGAATAACGTTTCCGTTTGGAAAAATGTCTGCACCCTTTCCGGGTACCACTCAAGGACCATCTACGACGTCGATTGGTGCAAGAAGACGGGACTCATCGCCACTGCTTGCGGGGATAATACAATTAGGATTTTCAGGGAGGAGAACGACTCTGATCCAAATCAACCAACTTTCTCAATGGTTTCTGTCGCCGAAAATGCACATTCCAGCGATGTTAATGCAGTTAGATGGTCACCGAAGAACCCTGGGGAACTTGCCAGCGCTGGGGATGATTCCAAAGTGCAGATTTGGTTTTACAGCGATTAATTTTCAATTCATTTCGAAGAATTTTTGTATAGAACTGAGGCAAATGTTGAAAAGTATCTTAAAAAAATACATGGTTTTTATTGAAATACGTGTTCTCAGCTAAATGACATTCCAACATAGTGATTCCGTGAAAAAATCCAAATCTTCAACTATTTTGAAACATGATCAATCTAGCAGTGCTCTTGGGTCTTTACAAATGTGTACAAATATTCACAAAAATAATCGTCAATGTCTATGTCGAGAGATTGCTCAATGCGTCAAATTATCAAATGCTAAATCATCGAAGTCATACTTCTTCTAGGATAAATGTTAGTCTGTTCATTGCTGCCTCTATAAGATTTTCTTCAATTTTGGTTTCAGTTTTTTCAAATTAAATACGATGAAAAGATAATATTGCGAAATAAAGAAAATCGCAATAATTCCCTGCTGTACTCAACTCTTATTTCAGTAGTAAGTGGCCGAAATTGGTGATTTTTTTTCTAGGAATTCCCCCCCTCCCCCCTTTTTCCAGCAAGTGCACGTGCACGCCCCCCCTTCACCCCTCGGCGGTATGCCTTTTGAAGAGGACGTCGGTGCATTGGGGGGGCCCCTGGGGTGCAGGGCCTCAAAGTTGGGGTCCGAGGGTCACAGGAAGTGGGTGGTGGGTGGAAAATGACCGGCCGATGGAAAATGGGTGGCGGGTGGAAATGGGGCAGTGGGTGGGAAATGGTTGGTGATTGGAAAATGAGGCGGCGGGTGGAAAGTGGATGGTGGAAAATGGTTGACGGGTAGAAACTGGTAGGCAGGTGTTGGCGAGGGTCCGGATGTCGCTCCCCAGGACACTGGAGGCACCATCCTTGAGACTCCAGAGAGACATTGCGTTTTCGAAATTTTTTTTTCTAAAGGGATAACAAAGGATTGCAACCACGAATGACGCAAAGAGCGGACAATACGTTTTCTCTCTCTCTTTTATTTTGAAGACGGTGAATTTTTCGAGCTGACCTGGAGCCGAATATATTTTTCTGGAAACTTCTACGTAGCTGAAAAAATGTCGAGGTTTTTCGTAAATGAATAACACAAGGTTTAAAAATGACTTTTTCNAATACATTTTTAGGCTTACAAATGATTTTTTTTTCGTTCCAATTTAAAATTATTTACAATCACAAGAGATTATTATTATCATATAGTCTTTAGTATGAGGGCATTTGGTAAGCCCCTCCCATAAACCATCCAACTCGGCGTAGCAGAAGTGCAACATTTCACCAAATGATGGATACAAATATCCCAGATTCTCCTGAGGAACTATACGGTGGAGGTCGTCCTTGGCCAGAAGGTAAATTTCCTCGAAATTGTTGCGTATGCGATAGTGGAGTTCTTCAGTGGCTGGCATCCTGTTGTATTCCATATAATTCATTGCAACACTTGTGATCGCCCGGACCAGAGACTCTTTGTATTGTTTGAGAGGCAAGGAGTCCAAAAAGTGTAACCACTGTTCGATCCATGCAGCTTTGTTTTTTAATGTTGTAATGCTGGGACTCATCAGAATGAGGGGTTGCCTTACATCAGCTCGTATAAAAGCAACGCAGGGGTTATCGTAGCTGCGATGGATCGAACAGTGGTTACACTTTTTGGACTCATTGCCTCTCAAACAGCACAAAGAGTCTCTGGTCCGGGCGATCACAAGTGTTCCAATGAATTATATGGAATACAACAGGATGCCAGTCACTGAAGAACTCAACTATCGCATACGCAACAATTTCAAGGAGATTTACCTTCTGACCAAGGACGACCTCCACCGTACAATACCTCAGGAGAATCTGGAATATTTGTATCAATTATTTGGTGAAATGTTGCACGTCTGCTACGCCGAGTTGGATGGTTTACGGGAGGGGCTTACCAAATGCCCTCATACTAAAGACTATATGATAATAATAATCTCTTGTGATTGTACATAATTTTAAATTGGAACGAAAAAAAAATCATTTGTAAGCCTAAAAATGGATTCCATCATTTTACATGAATTAAAGAAAAAGTCATTTTTAAACCTAGTGTTATTCATTTACGAATAAACTCGACATTTTTTCAGCTACGTAGAAGTTTCCAGAAAAGTATATTCGGCTCCATGTCAGCTCGAAAAATTCACCCTCTTCAAAATAAAAAAGAAAGAGAGAGAACGTATTGACCGTTCTTTGCGTCATTTGTGGTTGCAATCCTTTGTTATCCCTTTAGAAAGAAAATTTTCGAAAGCGCAATGTCTCTCCGGAGTCTCAAGGACGGTGGTGCCTCCAATGTCCTGGGGAGCGACATCCGGACCCTCACCAACACCTGCCTACCAGCTGCTGCTGTTCTACCCGTGATCCATTTTCCACCCGCCACCCCACTTTCCACCCACCAACCATTTCCCACCCACTGCCCCTTTTCCACTCGCCACCCATTTTCCATCGGCCGGTCATTTTCCACCCACCACCCACTTCCTGTGACCCTCGGACCCCATCTTTGAGGCCCTGCATCCCAGGGGGCCCCTCAGCGCGCCGACGTCCTCTTTAAAAGGCATACCGCCGAGGGGCGAAGGGGAGACGTGCACGTGCACTTCCTGGAAAATGGGGGGAGGGGGAGAATTCCTGGAAAAAAATTCGCCAATCTCGGCTACTTACTACTTATTTCCTTATGTCTTATTATATTTTTTAATTCTTTCATCGACTTTAGTTTCATCTTAGAATGCATTTGTTAGAACTGTTTATTACTTATTCAATTTACCAAGGATAATTTTACTTTGACATGAGTTAGTTGGGAAAAATAAATCATAAATGAAGTATTTGTCCTGATTTTTTTCAACAAAATAAAAACGAGGGGCTCATTGCTTTTGTCTTCACATAACATAGTTATTATTACGAATGAAATAGCAGTATGCTTTTGAATGGTCATTTTGCACATAATTTTCTGATATCGTATATCATTTATCGTATCATATTATTTTGTTGGATTGAATTATATTTCTTCTTTAATCAATTGTACTTGATTTCTTGCGAAAATTCCTATATAAATCAAATGCTAGAATAATGTTATTTATATTATCCTGACACTTCAATAAAAAGGTATTAGAAAAACTCTTTTCAGGCATAATTGAATGAATTTGAAACAACATATTTAAAGGAACCCTCGGAGAATTGAATTTGTGTGTGATTCCAATTCTCATCTCTGTAATTTAAGTTGCTCGATGTTTAATTGTGAGAAAATATTAAAAATATAATATTAAAATTTTGAAGAAACGATTCACAAAAATTAACTTTTCCATTGTTTCTTGGTTGGAAAGTTTCGCAGGATATCACAAAATTATTAGCGAACTATTTTTTTTATAAAGATGCTCCAGAGTTGCAGTGTAATACGCGATTCTACCGGTACTACACTGCAACTCAGGATATAATTTTTCCTCTAGACATAATGATGTTCCTACACTGAAAGAAAAGCAAACAAGTTCTCAAACAGTTTTATTTGGATCAACAAAATCGCAAGTGGAAAATTTCTAGAAATGAAATTGTTTGATTGGAATTTCAAAGTCTCAAACATGAATAATTGCTCTGCTTTCGGTAACAACGAAATAGTTGCCTCAACAGACGGATAATTCACATGAGACAGTGTCTTTTCAGGATGAAAGCATCTTATAAAGAGGAAAATTTATGAAGATTTTTTTGTCCCTAAGTTACAAAATTGCTTTCATACCATCATTATTATAACACNCGGGCACTCCCCGATGTCAGGAATTGTGAGGGAAATAATTTTTTATTTTGGGCGATTTGACAGTTTTCGATAGCCATATTGTGTGACACATGCAGACAACTTCCCAGATCACGGCGGTCGATAATCCCATGGAGATTAAATTATTAGTTTACTTTGTTAGGGTCTTCAGTAATTTTCTTTTTGAATGAATGTCACAGCAGTCGATGAAATCTATCTCCATGGGATTATCGACCACCGTGATCTCGGAAGTTGTCTACATGTGTCACACAATATGGCTATCGAAAACTGTCAAATTGCCCAAAATAAAAAATTATTTCCCTCACAATTCCTGACATCGGGGAGTGCCCGATTCGATTTCACACGGGGCCGACAAGAAAAACAAATTTTTGGACGTAAGTTTCATCTCATTTATTCCATTAATTAGCCCGTGGAAATGGCTCAAAGTTTTACCCGCTTTTGTATATCTATATATACACTCGTGGCGCCTTAAGAATTCATTGCTTGTCTGTGATTGTTGAACAGTGAACATTTTTTGGTGGCAAAATACATATGGAAGTATTGAATAATGAAGAAGTAGTGACAGAAATGACATTTTTTGTTTGCACAGATAATACAAATTTTAGGAACTACTAAATCTATTTTTGCTACAAAAATTTTCAATCACAGCGCACTCTTTGCATGTTTGGTATAAAAAATCCTTTGTTGAGCATTAAAAAAAACTTGTTTTGACACAAGTAAGACTTGTTTGAGAACTCTGTCGTTTTTCTCTCAGTGTATGGCGATGTCAGTGTATGACCAAGTCCTTCCTGTACTGCCTTAAGGTAGTATAAATATAAGTTGAATTTTGAAGATTAAAATTGGAAATAAATTCTAAATGAAAGTTACTATAAATAGAAATATAAGGGTTGAGTTTGTGTTCAATCGGCAGTCTAGTATTATTGATACTAGACAAATGGCGCGCTTTGCGCGCCTAATTAAGAATGAGGGGCTAGAAAAAAAAAGTATTATAATAATCTTGAAGTCTTTAAAATGAATTGGAGATGTAATTCAAAATAAATGAACAGAAGAACAGTCCAATCAGTCTGACATTCGTACAGGAGGGAAAACAAACTACAATCATACTAATGCCTATACATTCAGTTCCATTCCATTCTCATTCACACGGGGGAAATGATAATTTATTTCATTCTGTAACACTATTCCCCCCTTTTTTTTATTGTTGTCGCCCCAACCACACCTTACTAGAGCTACCGAGAATTCTTCAGACTTGGTTCCTCAAAATTCTCGGTTATCAGGGGCTCTAATACCCTTCTTCCAACACAAAACCCTGACGGAAAATTACAATTGGAAGAGGTTTAACTGCTTAAGAACCAAAACAACTACATTTTCAACAAGGTTCATCCCATTCGCAAACATTCATCTTCATTGTTGGACACCACGTTTCATGGGAGTCCTTCATTTCACAATTTAGGGGAAATTGTCCGAACATCTCCTTATCTGCCTTCAAATGAGACCTAGATCAGCGTAACCTAAACAGACAAGAAAGATCAAACGCAAAATTTTGTTCATTGTGAGATTAAGTCATGGCTACTCTCAGATACACCTCTCATTTCTCAGTTCATTTCGTTGTCATTTTGGCCCAAAACATTGGTGTGAGTTGAGTTAAAATTTTGAGTTCGTCTGCAGTGTTGGGATCTGTTCCTGTGAAAGTTAGAAGAACTGGATGAATTTGGACGTGAGAACCTCGACATTGAATTCCTGCAGAATCGATTAT